AGGAGACTACTTTGGAGATAATGCTGAAATTCATTCACCATATTATATTCTGCAGCCGCAGACTACCTTGCAGATAATACTGAAATTCATTCTGAAGCATTGTTTCATCAAGATATTTATGGAAATTCATACAATGCACAACAATTTGTTAAGCATGGAAAAGTACCCCGTCATGTTAGAGTAGCTTTGAAATATGAACAAGAGAGTGATGTGTGCATCTACAGAGTTCGCGGGGCACTCCCCAAATCAAACGAAGCCATGTACAGTCCTCAACAAATTTATTCTTGTCCCGCTTCATTAATAAATATAAAACACTATGTTATAACCCTGGATATAACTTAATTGATCAAATTATAAATTTATTTTTTAAAAATTATTAATTTAAGTCTCATAAATTTCAAGATCATTAATAATTTATATGACCATTAATTTCAAGTTTCATGAAATTAATTGAGATAGACACAAACTTACTCGAATATTAATATTAATTAAAAAAAACGATATGTTGCACCTTTGATATCGTCTTAGCTTTACAACCTTAAGTTAACACGCAGAACTATAGCGAGCGAACACACTGTACGATATTAGTTCAAAGAGAAATACTATATATAAAACCAATTAATCACTCAATTTGATCACAAGTCAAGTTTGTTTATATTTATGAAATCTGCAATTTGCTTTCTAGATCAGTTATGACCTCAAAAGTTGGCAAAAATATGTGAAACCCCTCCAACAAATCAGGGCAAATAGCTCAACCACGTCTCTATACACAACAGCCACTTCCTTGCACTTGTTTCTGTATGCACATAAAGTCATCAAAAAGCCTTTGTAAGCCTCCTTGTTGATGCGCTTCTGCACCTTCCTTACAAAATCGACAGCTTCTTCATGGTCTCTAGTAACCTTCTTTGCGGCCATTAATGCTTCTTAATTGATGCAATTCTAAGAAGGTTAGAAAGCCGAATAAAAGAATAGATTACCCTAATCATTATCATTATTATTATTGTATTAACCAGAGCACATTATTATATATATTTGTGCCCTATCAACTCTAATAAAATCAGCCTCTTATAGTGGTTATTGCATGTTAAGAAACCAATCACCTCTCAAGTCTCAACCCATGGCCCAAAGCATTTAAAGTCCTTATATTCAAATGCTTTTCAAACTAGGTCTCTGGATGTTTATTATAAGTTAAAATTATAAGAAATAAGAATATTATAAATATAGAAATATTTTTAAAATATTTAATTTTGTTTTGCTTTATTTCTATTTTTCAAAAAGTTATTATAAATCTTTATATAGAAAATAAACTACAAAAACCTAATAATAATGAGGGGAAAAAACTATAAAAGCATCATGATAATGAATAAGAAAATAAAATTAACAAAGTAAAATATTTATTTTCCTAAAAAAGTTTCTCTATCAAATATTTGTTTGTTTTTTTTTTGCAATTAGGTTGTCAACTATAGTTATTAAATCCAACGCTGTCTCTACCCAATGGTTCAACTCTTAAAAGTCAAAATCCATGCCTGGAGCAAAGTTTTGGTTTGATGTAATTTTGATATTCTCTAGCCAAATCCAAATAACTTTCAAATTAATATGCAACTCAATGCATATACTTATATTCAAAATCCAAATTAATGGGTCTTATCCTCTATTTATTGCTCCACATATAATATATATTTATTTTCAGTATACTACTCATATATTATTTCTCATTTTGCAAAATACTAGCCATTAACTTGAAATGTTAAGTCAAGGTTTAACTAGTGTTATGTATTAGGGTATGCTTGATACGTGGGTAAAGGAGTTTTTCACCTCTTTTACTTGTGTTTATAACAATTTAAATGGTACGAAAAAATTAATCTAAAGAAGTTTTAAGATTTAATCTCGAAAGTGGAGTTAAATGGTAACTTTATGGAGGGTGGAAGGGGTAAAAAAACTGATTTATCAATGGGAGAGATGTGGAAGTAGCTAGGTTGGAAGGGTAAAAAAATGATAATGATAAGATTTCAGAAGCAGAAAATAATGTCAATTCTATTACGACATTAATTGTAATGGGTTTCTTTCATAAGCAAAATTTATGATTTTCGTGTTAGAAAAATAATATAAAAAAAATAATTTTGGTAAGAGTAACTCTATATCAAATTTTAGACCTACAGTGGATTATAGTGATAAAAAATGTTGTATTATCATGAAGAAGGCTATATTCAGTGTCACTGTGAGAAGAAGAAAGCCAATATAGAAGAACTGAAACCAAGGAGCAAGAAGTCTAGAGATGCTGCGATTGTACAAATCATAAAGATGTTCTCATGGTTTACAAGGGCAATGAGGTTTTAAGAAATTCATGAATTTTAGATTCTGCGCTCTCTTTTCATATTTGTTTAAAGAAATAATGGTTTAATATTTATTAAAAAAAACAATGGAAATTTTATCATACTACAATCTCGCTCGATCTATACCTGCAATGTTCTCAAATTTGAAGCAGATTGAGAGTTTGGATCTTTCTTACAACGACTTGAATGAATGATGTCATCTCTCGGCAACTTACTGAAATTACTATAATGATAGTTTTTAGTGTAGCACAGAATAACTTGTCAGGTAAGACTCTCAGGAAAAAGTATTAGTTTGGGACCTTTGATAAAAGCAGTTACGAAAGAAATCCTTTATTGTGTGGATCTTCATTGCGAAACAATTGTAATGAAAAAGAATCACCATGGCAGGCAATGGATAATGATGAATAAGAAGATGATGGTTTCATAAATAAACATGGAGTTTTTCTATATCAGTTTTGGTATATGTCCATCAGTTTATATTTACGACGCAGGTGGTTTTACTTCATTAAAAATTGCATAGATTCTTGCAATTATTTTGTGGTGGCTAGTTTTCGCAAGTTCTCCAACTTCAGAAGATGAATTTGTTACTGGGGAAACGATTGTTTGTCCTGTATGTCTAGCTATTGAATGCTTTATAGTGTACTGTCTCTAAGCTCAACCTTTTTATTTGATTAGTTATTTGGGCTAAAAATATAAGCTGGACTACTCATTTCTGATCCATTAGGAAGGGAACTGATTTGCATGATTACTCTTTCAACTCTCAAGACCTGTCTAAAAGTGACCTGCGTCTGTATTCAACCCTCATTCTCGCAATTGATTTTTTTTTTTCGAGGAGAGAGGACTTGATTAAGTTGTATAAAGGGAATGATAATACTGTAAATTGCCAAAATCACTACTAAGTACAAACAAGATATTCTATGCATGTGTGACAACACTTATATCTGCATTTGTTTCAAGGGCGACCCCACCTCAGCTATTCAATCAAAGCACTGAAATCGGAGCAAGAAGATCCACCTTCTTCAACAGCATTCCTGGTCTTTTCTTCTAGCTTCTTTGTTCTGCTCCTTATTTCCTCTGCTTCTCTACAACATCACTTTCAACATGATCTCCATGCACTGCAAGCCATTCCCTAACTCGAACACCAACTCCAGTTTTTAAAACATTGGTCACCAACTTTTC